TTCTACTGATTTCCCAGGCCATAGCAGAGAGCTGGATCAGAAGTGGAGCAGCCGGAACTCGAACATTGCCCATATGGGATGCTGGCACTTCAGTTGGTGGCTTTACCCGCTATGCCACAGTGCTGACTCCAATGAGAAAATGTTTGAAAATACATGCTTTTCAAAGAATGCTAAACAAGTATATTTGTATGAATAAAATCAACTATTCCTTACAGAATTTTTAAACTAGGAATATTTTCACTTAGTCATGAAGAAACTCCATCCCCAGTTTAATATGTGATGATAGTGTAACAAGTAATTGTTTATAATTAGAATAATAATAGATTCCTAATCTTTGTTAGCAATGTCTTTATATCATCTCATTCAATCCACACAACTATGCAAAGAGATGAAAACATTTGCAGCTGTTTCACTTGTACAGGAAAGTGAGATTTTTAGTACTTTATTAAGGTCAAGGTCAGTAAGTGGCAGAGATAGCCAAACTGGCTCTTGATCCTCATATGGCAATTAATTTCCCCAAATGTAAAAGTCTTACATTGTGAAGGTTATTATCATTAATTTTATTTACTTCTGTGTAGTTTCCTACTTTTCCAGGAACCAAATTGACTTGAAGCCTATTTCAGAATATCTTCAGTGATGACACTCTTAGGTCTTTTGAAAATGTTATACATATATAATATTGCATATGCTGCTCAATTTTTGCACTGTTGTCTTTTCTAAAACATTACATATAAATTAAACTTATATGTTAAATTAAGCTTAAAAGTTTTTGTGTTTATAAGTTTTTAATAGATCAGATTTTATCATTTGATATATTTCATCCAAATTTTGATAGAATTTTAAAATTATTGCTATATCACTGGGTTCTCTCAGGTAGTTAATAGTATATATTATATTATAGTATATATATAATAGTATAATAATCAATTATGACTGTTTTCTAATTCATCAACTTTAAATGTTTGGATTTCAATTATGAAGCTTTATTAAAGTGGGCTCTTGTGTATCTATCAAACCAAAACTTCAGTCACACATTAAAATATGTTATTGGATTCATGTTACTTTTATGAAGCAGGAGGTCAAAATTGGTGGATCATCTGTTTTAAACCAGGTTATTAGTTAGTGCTTTCTTTTAAAGGATTTAGATGAGAGTTTTTAACTGAGCAAGGTTCGCGTAATTAGAAGCATACTACTTAAACTTGTTAATATACTTAAAACCTGTGCTACCTGTGCTATTAAACATTTTCATACCATAAACTTTGCACATTGTTATGTTCTTAACATTTTTTGCATCATAACAGCTGAATATGTAGCTTCACTGAATTCGGAAAGTTGCACAGTAATTGTGTAACTGCTGTTTCAGTGTTATGCACAATTTTCTAATTTTTACCAGGTTTGATATTTTCTCATTTTAGGTGAGTTGTCATTCTGCTTTTACTTTTTGGTATTCAATTAGCTGTGTTATTTGTTGCACCATTTAATGTCATGTTATACATGAATCAAAATATATTATAGCCTAAGTTCATCTTGTATTTTTTTATAGGGACTGACTTTGATTTGAGTGGGACATTTCATAGAGTACTTATTTAAATGATACGCAGTAGAATAAGTAAGCCCCTTTTAATTTACTCATACTGTCTCCAAAAGTAATAATTACTACTTTTTTGTTTATTTTGGTGTAGTTTGCAAGCCACTTCTGTTGGTTTAATTGTAGACTAAATTGTTGCATATAGTGGTCCTACAATTGGTTACTTAAATTCTCTTTATTTATACCCTATCAGGCATTTATGTAGTTTTCTTATAAAATAGCTTCTTAATCATAATGATCATGATCAAGTCCTTGTACCAAATTATTGTGCCTGTTAAGATTATTATTTAGAAGTTTAACCTTGCCATACAATGTTTGTAGATGACATTCCTAGAACCAACTGTTTCCATTCATTTTATATATTCTCCATGTATTGTGACTATAATTTAACTGAATAGGAAGTAACCTACTTGCATATTATGTGCTTACATTTTAAAATATTTTTGGCACTGGTTAATGGGACACACAAAACAATTAAAAAGCTGTTAAATGTGCCTATAATGGAGATGAAGGAAAAATATAAAATAATTTAATGTAGTACTAGGAATATATTCTGAAGTTGTAATATCTTGTATTTGCAATATAGTTTAGAAAACCATCCCATTCATTTTATTTTTTAAAAATATTTATTAATTTGTTTGAAAGAACAATAGTGGCAGAGGGAGAGACAGAGAGAGAGGAAGAGATCTTCCATCTGCTGGGTCACTCACCAAAAGCCCTCAATAGCTGGTGCTGGACTAGGCCAAAGCCAGGAACCCAGAACTTCATTTGGGTCTCCTGTGTGGATGGCAGGGACCCAAGTACTTGGGTCATCATCTGCTGCCTTCCCAGGCAAATTAGCAGGAAACTGGGTTGGAAACCAAGAAGCCAGGATTTGAACCAGCCCTCTACATGTTGTTGCAACAATAGGTTAATGTTCTATCATTCATTTTTTTTTAAAGATTTATTTATTTACTCAAAAGTCAGTTACACAGAGAGAAGAGAGGCAGAGAGAGAGAGAGAGAGAGAGAGAGAGGTCTTCCATCCGCTGGTTCACTCCCCAGACAGAGAGAGAGAGAGAGGTCTTCCATCCGCTGGTTCACTCCCCAGACAGCTGCAATGGCCAGAGCTGCGCCGATCTGAAGCCAGGAGCCAGGAGTTTCTTCCAGGTCTCCCATGCAGGTGCAGGGGCCCAATGACTTGGGCCATCTTCTACTGCTTTCCCAGGTCATAGCAAAGAGCTGGATCAGAAGAGGAGCAGCTGGGACTGGAACTGGCACCCATATGGGATGCCTGCGCTTCAGGCCAGGGCTTTAACTTGCTGTGCCATAGCACCAGCCCCGTCTGGCATTCTTTTTTTTTTTTTTTTTTTTTTTTTTTGACAGGCAGAGTGGACAGTGAGAGAGAGAGACAGAGAGAAAGGTCTTCCTTTTTTTTTTTTGTCTTCAATGGCTGCAGTGGCCGGCGCACTGCACTGATCCAAAGCCTGGAGCCAGGTGCTTCTCCTGGTCTCCCATGTGGGTGCAGGGCCCAAGGACCTGGGCCATCCTCCACTGCCTTCCTGGCCCACAGCAGAGAGCTGGCCTGGAAGAGGGGCAACCAGGACAGAATCCGGTGCCCTGCTGCCATTCATTTTTAAATCGTAGCCCCTCAACCTTGTGAGTTAAGTAGGGCAGATTTCTTATTCTCATTTTACAGAAAATATAGGTCTTAGTAAGTTTAGTTAAATCACTAAGGCCTGGAGTTTTTGCAAGGATTTCTTTTTTTAAAAATATAGTTCCTTAAAGATTTTTTTTTTTTTAATTTGAGAGGCGGAGTTACAAAAGAAAGAGAGAAAGGTCTTCCATCTGCTGGTTCACTCCCCAAATGGCCATAATAGCCAGAGCTGAGCCTAAACGAAGCCAGGAGCCAGGAGCTTCTTCCGGGTCTTCCATATGGGTGCAGGGCCCCCAGGACCTCGGCCATCTTCTGCTGCTTTTTCAGGCCATAACAGAGCTGGATCAGAAGAGGAGCAGCTGGGGGCATGAACTGGCACCCATATGGGATGCCGCACCTCAGGCAGAGTCTTAGCCTATACCACAGTGCCAACCCCCTCAAGGATTTCTTAAGACATAAAGAGAATACAGCATAAAAGAAAAGATTGATAATCAAAATGCATAGACTATCAACTTAAAAAAAGGACATAAGCAATTCACAGTGTACACCCAAATGATCTTTAACTTAAAGGAAGATGATCCTCACTAATAATATGTAAATGTAAATTAAATAATATTCAAGGGAAAATACCCCAAAACATTAGTGCAAAACTGTTTGTAAGGTATCACATTATCAAATAAAATACCTGACCACATTATATGCTTTTAAGCTTGAGAAGACGTGGGTAATTCTTACAGTCCCTGAGGAAGATAATTTGGTCATTTTGAGAGCTGTTTGGCTTCAGGTTTTTACTTTTGATGGTGAAGGATTGCAAACAGTGGAAATGCCTCAATAGATGAGTGTTATAAAAAAAAACTGCTGTGATACCATGATGGAAATTCTGTAGCAGTTAGAAGTGGTGCATCAGTTGGATAGAAGTTAAAATCTTAAAAACATAATGAAGAGTGAAAGTAAATTGTGAAATGATATTTATTATAATATTCTTTATGTGAAAAAACCCCACATACCAAGTCTGTGTATTTTTCATGAATATTACATATTTATTATATACATAAAAATATATTAAAAATATCCTTGAAAGGTATATGTTCTAAGTTCATGTAGTGGTAGTCTATGAGATAAAGGGAACCTAAGTGGTATGTAATACAAGTATTGTTTTTTGTTAGTTTGTTTTTAAAATAAGAATAAACACAAACATGGAAAATCTCAATTCCATTTCTGGGTATTAGGTGGGGGCATTTGTTCAGTTACATTTTTCTAACAAAGTGAAAAGTAAAAGAATTTTAATTTGCTTAGAGTTACCAAAAACTAGTTTTGGAGGAGCTAGTTCTTAGGATTTGGCTCTCAAGTTTACAGCTTTTTCTGTTAACATGCCATATCATAATGAGAATGAAAAGTGTCAAGATGAAACAATAAAAAAGTAGATAGAATTTAGTTTTATAGTAATAAGAATTAAGAGATTTATGTGTTTGTGGTAAAATTTTTAGGGGAAAGGAAAATTTTAAGAAATTAAAATTATAATCTTATTTTAAATCTTAAGGATGTTGTCTGAATGTATAAAGAGCAACTTTAAAAATTAGGAAAAATGGTACCTTAATTTATTGTTTAAAATGTGATACATATTTCTGTTGCATGTAATGAAAGATACTAGATGATTTGAATTTTAAAAAAAATCATGAAAATAATTTAATCCAAATATACAATCTGACATCATCTAAAAAAGTCAAAACTAGTTTTTCTTCCATTTTTAAAGTCATTCTTCACAAAAACTTTACAGCCTTTTTATTTACAGCTTCTCTCCAAGATAAAATGGCAAACCCCAAAGAGAAAACTCCAATGTGTCTGGTAAATGAGTTAGCCCGTTTCAATAGAGTCCAACCCCAGTATAAACTTCTGAATGAAAGCGGGCCTGCTCATTCGAAGGTAAGGTTATGAAGAGAGGTGGTGAGACATACTTATCAAACTGTCACTTATCATCTCAGGTGTTAATTGTGCTTTCTGTTTTGGAATGGGGGTGGGATGGCCTGAAGGCTTTTATTTCTATATTAACATTTTTAAGTCTGTAAACAATTTTGTTTCTTATTATGATTTATAAATCTCTTTCAGATATAATATGCTAACAAAACCTTAACAAACCAACATGAGATGTGGATATTTCATTTCTACTTTGTAAATTAAGAAATGCAGGCACAGCGAAGTTAAATGGCTTACTTAACAGTTTGTAAGTGCCAGTGCCAGCACTCAGATACATGCTCTTTAACTCCCAATTGCAGTGCTCTTTCCATTAAACCACAGCTGTTAAAGTAGAAGTGGAAACAGCAAATATTGCAGTAGTTACCTATTCAGACGTTTTTTCCAGTGTCATGTTTAATTCTGATTCATCATTTATCGAAGTTGTATATACCAGTATTGTTATCTGTGCCTTCACTTGTAATGTTCTTTTAAGTAGAAAAATAATTTATATTCATTTTATTTTTTCTCAGCTGAAATTAACATTTTATTTAAAAAATGTTTAAAAGATTTATTTATTTGAAATATAGAGTTCCAGAGATGGAGAGAGGGAGAGACAGAGAGAAGGAGATCTTTCATCTGCTGTTTCATATCCTAAATATCACTACATCTGAGACTAGGCCAGACTAATGCCAGAAGCCAGGAGCCTCATCCAGGTCTCTGACATGTGTTCAGGGCCCAGCTCCGGAGATATCTTCCGCTGTCTTCCTAGGCACACCAGCAGTGAGCTGGATGAAGCAGCCAAGACTTGAACTGGTGCCCATATGGGATGCTGACATTGCAGGGGGTGGCTTCACTTGCTACACCAGTACAGTAGTGGTGTAGCACTACAGTAATGGATAGTAGAACCAAGGGCAGCAGGCCACTGTAGCTTTTCCAATGTCACATACCCTGAACAGGGTCCTCTGAGCATTGTCTAGGACCTGCTGTTTCTCCTGAGTGAAGTCTGTATCAACATCTGTAATAGCACATTTCTCCTCAACATATCAGCTCTGGGCTTAATGTCCAGCTCTGCATTCTGACTGTTCACCAAGGTGGGTGAGCCCTTGAAGGCAGTGATGATGGCTCAAGTAGTTGAGCTCCAGCCCCACATTTGGAAGATTTACATTGAATTCTTGGGCTTCAGCCTGGCTCAGCTGCAGCCACTGCAGGCATTTAGGGAAAATCAACAGATAAGAGCTCTCTCTCTCCCTGTATCACAGCAGAACACATGCTGAGCTGTTCAGTCTAATCTCAGGATTGAGATCTTAGAGTGTTCTCTGAACACTTGTCCCTGGTGACTTGGCTATCCAAGTGATGAGCAGCAAAGGCCTGATTACCATTATTACTTTCAGGAGATGGCTGGAATGGAGCTTCTTGTCTTCCATTTTCCAGCCTCTGAGGTGTCCAGGCATTCTTCTTGGGGCTCTCGCAGTGAGGGAGGTTCACAGAGTGACCAGTTTATATTTACATAGAGCTGTGTACACCTGTGTTTACATATATACATGTTACAATGAAATCAGTGCATTTATATTTTAACTCTTTTGTCTGTTTAAAGTCTCAGTTATGCATATTTTCCCTGACACATTTTAAGTGATAGATATTGGAAATTATGGTAGTAGTCATAGTTTTTTTGGTATGTAATATGGAAGGAATTGATTTTTTAAGAGTTGGTTAATCTTCAAAAAGCAGTTGGCTACTGAGTAATTTAATTCTTTCTTTGCACTTTTCTCAATGTAAGGAAAACAAGATGAAACTCAAGTTTGTTCCCTATTAGAGGCATTTATGAAGGGTTTGTGGGAAATGATTTAATTTGCTTATACTCTCTCTTACTCTCTTGCACTATCAGAGAAAATAGTTGTGGCCTTGGTCTACATACATCCTGACTTTATTTCACACCCATTCTGCTTTTAATGGTGATCAACTGTTTGCATTTTTTCTGAATGTTTCATGTTCTTTTCACATTTCTCTGCCTTTGCGCGGTTCGTGATGTCGTTTTACCTTTGTTCATTTTTGATCACTTGCCTCACACATCCTGTCTGTCAGATGTTTGTGAAACCCTCTGATCCTCCACTGGGTCTCTGGTTGTAGTTGTTACTGTGTTACTGCAAAATGATTCGTGTTGTCATTACTTTGGTGCTAGACTGGGCTCATTTAGAGATACTTTACTCTTTTGCGTTTCCTGATTCCCATGGTGTATGTCTTTGTCTTCTCTTCTTTGACATTTCTAAACATTGCTCCTTGAGATGAGCCTCCAGCTTTGAATCTCCAGTCATCACACTAACTCCTCACAGCCCCTCGTGGTGGTTGTTTGCTGACCTCTGGCTGATTCTGTCACCTTTCTCAGCTCACTTTCATCTCTCAGATTCCTCACGTTTTAATTTTGGTGATTTCAGCGTCTAAATAGGTGATTATTTCAGCATGTTGGCTTTTCAGTTCCTTGAACGTCTCCAGTGGTCTTGGTTAGCCATTCTCCTTTAGCCACTCATTCCTGTAACCACATTCTTGACCTTCTCATTACTGATGATTGCAAGACACTTTATGAGTTGAAGTATTCATCTCTCTGACACTTACCCCCTAACTTTCAGATCACTCACTGTAATAATTTGACTTCCACAGTGCTTCTGTACCAGAGATCCATTAATTATACCTCCCTTTTACTATTCCTCACTTCCCCCAGCCCTCACATAGGTTCATACCCAGCTTAAATTCCATATGATTTACACGTCTGTACCCTCAATATTCTTTCCTCTCTTGGTTAGAAGTTCTTGCTTAGCAAAATGCTAGCCCCAGCTCTGAACTCTACCTTTTTTTTTTCCCTTAATTTCTTTATTTTTTTTGAAAGGCAGAGTAATACAGAGAGTTGGTAAGACAGGGTAAGATAGAGAAAGATCTTTCATCCACTGGTTCACTCCTCAAATGGCTGCAATGGCTGAGTCTCCCACACGGGTGGCAGAGGCCTAAGCACTCCGACCATCATCTGCTGCCTTCCTAGGCACATTAGCAGGAAGCTGGATCAGAAGTGGAGCAGCTGGGACTCGAATTGGCACCCATATGGGATTCTGGCATTGCAGGCAGTGGCTTAATCTGCTGAGCCACAGTGCCAGCCCCTTCCTTTCTGAATTATGAAAGAACTACCTGTAGAGGCCAACCCATTTCACTGGTTGAGGGCCATTCCTCCAGTTTTGTTTACCCTGCCCTCCCCCACCCCCACTGCCCCATGTCTTCTGTGCCATCAAATTCCCCTTCAATGGATCATTGCTGTCAACTTCTGGGTATACTATTAGTTTTCCCATCTTAATAGAAAACCTCTGGTTCCACTTCTTCCTCCAGCTGTAACCTTGTTTCTTGCCTCCTTTACACCAAAATGCCTTAAAAGAGTTGTCCATACTACCTATCTCTAATTCTTCCATTTTCCCTCTAGGCAAGGTTTTGTTCCCATGATTCTCACCATTCAAAACTGGTCAAATGAAGATCACCAGTGACCTCCTCATTAAATACCTCAATCACTTGTCAGTCCTAATGTGACTTGGCCTGTCAGCTATATTTGATAAGGTGATCTCTCCTTGTTGAAATACTTACTTTACTTAGTTTCCAGGACACTATACTGTGTATTTTTCAAATGATTTCACTGTCCACATTTCACAAATTTTCTTTGACTTTTGTTTCTTCCCTTGATCTCTCAGACCTTTTAATATTGTAAGATCACAGTGTTCAGACCTTGGACCTCTTCTTAGTCTTTTTTTTTTTTTTTAAAGATCGATTTATTTATTTGAAAGGCAGAGTTACAGAGGCAGAGAGAGAGAGAGAGAGAGAGAGAGAGATTCAGGATCTTCCATCCACTGGCTCACTTACCAAATGGCCACAATGGCTGGAGCTGATCTGATCTGATCCAAAGCCAGAAAAAAACAGAGAGAGAACACACACACACTCACACACACACACACACATCTATCCACTGATTCACTCCCCAAATGGCTGCAACAGCTAGGTCTGGACTAGGCTGAAGCCAGGAGTCAGGAACTCCATCTTGGATTTCCCACATGGGTAGAAGTGGCCCAAGTACTTGGACAATCTTTTGCTGCATTCCCAGGCACTTTAGCCTGGGAGTTGGAGTGGAAATGGAGCAGCTAGAATAACACTCCTATGGGATGCTGGCGTCATAAGCAGCAGCTTAACCCGCTGCACCCTTTTCACTCTTGATTTTCTCCCTTAGTAATTTTATATGGTCTTGTTGCTTTAACTAACTGCATGCTGATAACGAGCAAATTTGTCTCCAGCTCATAGCTTTTCCCTTTGGAATTGTGCATCTGTTTGTTAACTGTTTCTACTTGAGTGTCTAGATGACATCTCAGACTAAGCACATCTCCAGCTGAGTTCCTGATCTCTGTCATGCATATGCCTTTTCCTTCTTTTTCTCAATATCCCCTATTTGAGTATTTTATTGATTATCTCCTCTGTGAGGGCAGTGCTTTATTTTTGTTTATTGCCCTTTTACTAGTGCCTAGAATGGAGCACATGGTAGGTGCTCAGTGAGTATTTGTTGAATGAAGAATGAAAAATTGAGTTACCTCTGTATGGAAATAACAATGAGTAAACTTTTTTGAAAGACAAAAAGAAAAAGTATTTCTTAATTGTAACTAAGAAGGGAATGGAGATATTTTAAATAGTACACTTTTAAAAAAAATTATTTATTTGAGAGGTAGAATTACAGAAAATGAGAGGGAGAGACAGAGAAGAAAGGTCTTCTATCTGTTGGTTCACTTCGCAAATGGATGCAGCGGCCAGAGCTCCACCGATCCAAAGCCAGCAGCCAGGAGCCAGTAGCCAGGAGCTTCTTCTGGGTCTCCCACATGGGTGCAGGGGCCCAAGGACTTGGGCCATCTTCCACTGCTTTCCCAGGCCATGGCAGAGAGCTGGATTAGAAGAGGAGCAGCTGGGACTAGAATCGACGTCCATATGGGATGCTGGCACTGCGGGTGGAGGATTAACCTACTGTGCCACCGTGCCAGCCCCTAAATAGTACACTTGACAAAGAATAAAATTTATTCTTTAAGGAGATATTTAGAATTAAACATAGGGAAAATTTTTGTTTGATGCAAGTATGTCATTCAAATTGTCTTTTCTATTGAATCTATTAATGGAAGATAGCTTTTAGAAGAAAAAATATTGTATTTTTATCTTTTCCTACTTTCAGGAGTGTGCATCTAGTAGTATGTGTCTTTTAATCGTTTGGTTGGAGCTTCCACATTAGCTATTCTATCCTAGTAATATTTTCTTTGCTTAAGTGAGTATATCAAATTGTTATTATTAAAGAAGTATGTTAGACCTTTGTGATTGCTACTTTGGCAGTGGGATTTTTGGTATTTAAGAATACTCATAGTTCTTCCTTTAAACTTTTCTTGATATTACTCTGCAGATTAAAAAATGAACACATTATAAAGTGGAAACATAATTTTTTAAAAAGATTTATTTGTTTGTTTGAAAGTCAGAGTTACACAGGTAGAGGAGAGGCAGAGAGAGAGAGAGAGAGGCAGAGAGGGAGAGGTCTTCCATCCGCTGACTTACTCCCTAATTGGCTGCAACGGCCGGAGCTGTGCTGATCCGAAGCCAGGAGCCGGGAGCCTCCTCCGGGTCTTCCCCTGCAGGTGCAGGGGCCCAAGGACTGCTTTCCCCGGCCATAGCAGAGAGCTGGATTGGAAGTGGAGCAGCCGGGTCTTGAACCAGCGCCCATATGGGATGCCGGCACTTCAGGCAGTGGCTTTACCCCCTTCGCCACAGCACTGGCCCCTGGGAACATAATTTTTATATAGTCATGTACAAGTAGAAATCTGCAAACTAGAATGTACTGGAAGAATTCAGCATAAACGTTAAAAGAATAGATAATGATGTTTTTTCTGAGACTGACGTACTGCCCACTGCACTATGGAGGCAACTTGTTTTTTCTTTTAAAGAAATACTCTGCTTCGTGTTTGCTTTTATGATTTTGGCCTAAATTATAAGTTATAATCCAGAGAAAGCACATGTTTCTAAGAGTCATTGAAAGAGTTCCAAGTCCGTCAGAGTTCCGTGGACTCACATTTCCTCTGAGGGGCACTGTTTATCGCTGAAGTGAGTTCTGTTCATCAGGGATAGAAACACTGTGGTCAGGGGCTCCTTGACTCTGATATGCTTAACTTGTTAATTAATTTATTCTTACTTGAAAGGCAGAGGGTCGCAGGGAAATCCCCAGGTGTCACAGCAGCCTGTCCTGGGCAGACTGAAGCCAGGAACCCAGAGCTCAGTCCAGGTCTCTGAAATGGGTGGCAGGGACTCAACCACCTGAGGCATCCCTGCTGCCCTCCAGCTTGTGCATTAGCAGGAGGCTAATTGAGCTGCACTCAAATTCAGGCACTCACTTAGGAGACGCAGGTGTCCTCAGCCGTGGCCTGTGTGCTGCACCAGATGTTCACCCCGACTGGTATTTAGGTAGCACCAATTAGAGTTAGCTCAGTGCCCCTGCTGGCTCCTGCATATTTAGGGTTTGGCAGAGCATTGTTGGCGTTACCTTAGGAAGGAAGAATTTAGTTTCTCCCTGAAGCCAACCTTACTCTTGTTTGATAAAGGAAGGCAAGGTTACGTGGGAACATTCTAGAGGAATCTGGAAGATTCTGGTTTCCCTAAGATTCCTTGGAAATACTTTGCAAATTTTGGAGGACATTGTGAACTGGCTTGACATCTGTATCCTCTCACAACCCAGGTTTTGAAGGTGAATAGGTTTGTTGTGGTGAACGTGGACCCTACTGGGTCTCATAGATACTTCCTACTCCTAGACAGTCCCAGGGTTTCCTTGAGTTTTCAGGAGGTTTGGGGATGCCTTTTGCTAACTTGTTTTCTGAGTTCTTTGGCCATAGAACATCTCATTTAGCCTGTAGGTAATTTTTTGAAAAAAGAGTACCAGAAAAATTGGCATTCTTAACTAATTTTATTTATTTATTTTTATTTTTTTATTTATTTATTTTTTGGACAGGCAGAGTGGACAGTGAGAGAGAGAGACAGAGAGAAAGGTCTTCCTTTTGCCGTTGGTTCACCCTCCAATGGCCGCCGCGGCCGGCGCGCTGCGGCCGGCACACTGCGCTGATCCGATGGCAGGAGCCAGGAGCCAGGTGCTTTTCCTGGTCTCCCATGGGGTGCAGGGCCCAAGCACCTGGGCGCCGGCGGCATTCTTAACTAATTTTAATTAATAACTAATATTAAGTTGTTAAGTCTGGATTCTTTTAGTGGAAAAAAGTCATCTTCATTCATGCATGTGTATCAGTGGCTTTAAGTGAGACATAAAATGTATTTTAATGAAATGAATTATTGTCTCTGGCAAGACAGATTTAAACCTAGTCATGGCTCATTAATTTTCTTGCAACATTAAATAATTATAATTATGGCAATTTTCAAAAACGCACATGCACAAAACCACATCTGCATATACCCTGTCCCCACACCTATCCCCTCCCCCTACTCCCACATACACTTACAGTAGTAGGTCTCATATTGACTGTTTATTTGAATCATCAGGGAGCTTCAAAAAATACTTATGCCTGAGTGTCATTCCTAGAAATTCTAATTTAATTGGTCTTGAGTGAGGCCCACTTGGAATTTTTTTTTTTTTTTTGACAGGCAGAGTGGACAGTGAGAGAGAGAGACAGAGAGAAAGGTCTTCCTTTTTGCTGTTGGTTCACCCTCCAATGGCCACCGCGGCCGGCGCGCTGCGGCCGGCGCACCGCGCTGATCCGATGGCAGGAGCCAGGAGCCAGGTGCTTTTCCTGGTCTCCCATGGGGTGCAGGGCCCAAGCACCTGGGCCATCCTCCACTGCACTCCCTGGCCACGGCAGAGGGCTGGCCTGGAAGAGGGGCAACCGGGACAGAATCTGGTGCCCCGACCGGGACTAGAACCTGGTGTGCCGGCGCCGCTAGGCGGAGGATTAGCCTAGTGAGCCGCGGCGCCGGCCCACTTGGAATATTTTTAAAGCTCTGAAATGGACCCAGATTTGAGGGACATTGGCCAGAAGTTGATGTTTTCCGGATGGTGGAGAGTTTTCTCACACTCTGCACACCTTGATGGAATGTGGTAACCTGTGTTTACGTGCTTTCTGCTTTCCTCTTTCCTCCCTTGGGTCTCAGAATCTGAACAATGAATGGCAACTCAAAATGATTAATTTAATGTTTACTTCATCTTCTCATTTTTTGACTTGACTTTTTTTTTTTAATATTTATTTATTTATTTGAAAAGCAGAGTTACAGAGAGGAAGAGGGAGGTGGAGAGAGATCAGTCTTACCCCCAATGCCTAAGGCTGGGCCAGACTGAATCCAGAAGCCTGGAACTCCATCCTGGTATCCCATGTGGAGGCTCAAGTACTTGGCCATTGTTCTGCTTTCCCAGGTGCATTAGCAGGGAGCAGGATTTGAACTGGAGCAGCTGGGACTCTAACCATTGCTTATGTAAGACAACAACATTACAGGTGGCAGCTTAGCCTGCTGTGTCACAGTACAAACCCCTGACCCATTTTTCTGTCTTTATGCTA